CAGTCTCTCCCCACAGCTGCTTGAAGTGAACAAGCAATGGGACCAGCATTTCCGGTCCATGAAGCAGCAGTATGAGCAGAAGGTAATGCAGGGGCCATCAGGACTCAAGATTGAAATGGTTCCTGGCTCGACTCTCAGGGCCTCCAGCCTCCACCTTGCTGCTGCCCCCTCAGCAGCTCCAGGGCTTGGAGGTGGTCCAGGCTGAGCCCTGGCATGGCCGAGAGGAGAAGTAGGGCTGGCAGTGTTGGAGGGCCCAGTGGGGACTGAGCCCCGCCTGTGTCCCAGTGCACCCTGCACCCCTGCCCTCACATCCCATCCTCCATCTCTGCACCCAGATCACTGAGCTTCGCCAGAAGCTGACCGATCTGCAGAAGCAGGTGACTGACCTGGAGGGTGAGCGTGAGCAGAAGCAGCGCGACTTTGACCGCAAGCTCCTCCTGGCCAAGTCCAAGATTGAAACAGAGGAGGTAAGTGTGACTGCCAGTCCCTGCAGTGTCCGCTCTGGCAAACCATTTGCAGGGAGCTCAGTGATGTGAACAAGCCAGGGCCAGGGAGTGGGGAGGCCTTGGTATTCTAGCTCCAGCTTTAGGGCTGAAGGGCCATGTGACCACAGGCAAAAGCACCTTCTTTTCTGTGCCTCAGTTTCCCGTTTGGAAATTTAGGAAGTTGTATTAGGTATTGCTTTTCAAGCTTTCCTGTTTTCATACAGAAGAACTTTTTGTTCAGTTAAAATCTTATGGTCAGGGGAACCTTAATGGGGAAGTACAGAATATAAAGGAGGTCCAGGCAGGCCCTCTCTATTGCACTTGGCAGGGGTGGGTGCTGCTAAGTGTTCAGGGTAGTAGGGACTGCTTGTGAGGAGGGCTAGCACATTACACAAAGCTTCATGCATTCATTCACCTGCTCTGTGTTCCTTAGCTTGTGCCCCAGAGATTCAGGGGTGAGCAGCCCGGTCGTACCCTTGAAGGGGAAAGAGATGCCAAGCAACTAATTACACAAGCAGATAAATTAGTGAAAGTGCAGTAAGTGCTACAAAGGAGAAGTCACAGGGGTCAGAGGGCATGAAGGGGGACTAGACTCAGTCTGGGGGACCAGGTGCAGGTGCCCTGAGGAAGTGGTGTCTGGTCTGCTGTTTGTGTGGCAGACACTAGCCAGAGCCCTTCAGGACCCTAGGGCAGCTTCAAGAAGAGTGGCCATTTGGCTCTAGACTCTCAAAAAACCCATTGCTGTCAACTCATAGCGACCGTATGTATAGGACAGGGTAGAACTGCCCCATAGGGTTTCCAAGGAGTGACTGGTGGATTCAAACTGCCGACCTTTTGGTTAGCAGCCGTAGCTCTTAACCACTTTGCCACCAGGGGGTCACTGTGAGTTGGAATTGACTGGACAGCAACAGGTTTCCAGACTCTCAGGTGATTGTCTTTATGTCTCGATGGTTTCTCCTTCACGGGAACCTGGCATGGACTTCCGCCTAATTTAAGAAAGGACATTCCACACACAGATTGCATTTCAGAGTCCCCCCCCATCGGCATGTGATACCGGGCCTTATCTGAGTGGTGTCAACCTGCCTCTGTGACCACCCCCTCACCTTGAAGGTGTGTGTGTTGGGGAGGGCACTTCTCTGTCTCTTCTCGAGTACATGAGCACATCTTGTGACTCGCAGCCAGATAGCCTGGCTCTTTCCCCCACCCCCCCTCACGCACATCAATGGGTGAGACAAATCCCTGGAATCTCACAGCTCTTCCCTGTCAGCCAGGGGTAAGGTGGGACATACAGGGATAGAGGCCATGCTTAATCCTGGCGCCTCTTGGGCGGGGAGTCCAGACAACTCCCACAGTTCCTGACCAAGGCTGCCCTTAGCAATTCCTTGCTGGAAATAGCTCACCAACCGGCTTGTAGAATATTGAGTAAAGGTCACACGGGGGAAATGGCAGTCCCGGAATGAAAACTAACCCCTGCGGCCTATTTCCTAATCCATATTATATGAATGTTGTTGTTCGTGGCTGTGGAGTCAGCCCCTGACTCATTGTGACCCCATGCACGTGGGATCGGACTGTTGTGATCTCATTTTCAGAAGTAGATCGCAAGGCCTTTCTTCCTGATCCATCTTAGTCTGGAAGTTCCAGTAAAACCTGCTCAGCATCATAGCAACACGCAAGCCTCCACTGACAGATGGGTGGTGGCTGTGTATGAGGTGCACTGGCCAGGAATCAAATCTGGGTCTCCTGTACGGAAGGCAAGAATTTTACCACTGAACCACCAATGCCCTCGTTATATGAATACTTAGCTGTAAATTGTTTAAACAATAGAGGTAAAATGAAAGTATCCCTTGACCACTTTCACCCTCAACTCCAAGCCCTCACTAGATATACCTACTGTTACTGACTGACCACTTGTCTTAGTTATCTAGTGCTGCTGTAACAGAAATACCACAAGTGGATGGCTTTTAACAAACAAATTTATTTTCTCACTGTTTAGGAGGCTAGAAGTCTGAATTCAGGGTGCTGGCTCTAAGGGAAGGCTTACTGTCACTGTCAGCTCTGGGGGAAGGTCCTTGTCACTTCAGCTTGTTTCCTGATTCCTTGGAGATCTCCATGTGGCTTTGCATCAGTCTTTCTCCATCTCTGCTTCATAGCTTGCTTATTTAATCTCTTTTATGTCTCCAAAGAGATTGACTCAAGACCTACCCTACACTAATCCTGCCTCATTAACATAACAAAGACATGTCATTCCCAAATGGGACTATAACCACAGGCATAGAGGTTAGGATTTACAACACATGTTTTTGGGGGACACAATTCAAACCGTAACACCACTGTTGCCAAACCTTTTCCCCACGTGTATACACGTAGAAATATATAGCTTATCCTGGGTGTGCCCCGCCCAAGTAGTTTTTCCAGTACCCTGTGCTGCCATCCCCTGTTTTAAACACTTCGTTTGACTTAGAAGGGGAGAGACCACTGGAATAGGAGAACAGAGTTCTAGTCACAGCTCAGTGCATGGCCTTGGGTAAAGCCTCCCACCTCTCTGTCCACTCATTTCCCATCGTGTGGAGGGACTCGATGCCCTCTGAGATGAAGAAGCAGCCCTTCTTGTTCCAGAGTGGATTTTGGGAGCGATGCTTTTACCTCAAAGCCTCCCCAGGTTTCTTCTGAGCTGTGGTGATCTTTCTTTTAACCCCACAGTATTTCGTTTGTTTCTCTGAGAAGGAACACTTTCTGACTCATGTTATGTTTGTTTCTATAAGTGACATCTCTTCTCTAGGCTCAGAAGCTCTAAGCGCTGAAAGTTCTAGAGCTTATCAGTGGTTCCTAACTTCCTGTGGGTCACAGGCCCCTGTGAGAAGCTAGAAAACTGCACACAGACAAAATTTTGCATTCAGTTTTGGGGCTCACAGACCCCCTGAAACCCACCTGGGACTCATGTAAGAACCTCTTATCCATGGCAGAGACATGATAGAGCTGAGACAAGAGAGGGCTGTAATGGTGCCCAATGTCTCAGCAAACTGGTGTTAGAATCCAGAGCCTTTCACTCAACTAAGCCCACGTCTTCAAGGGCTGAGACCATAGGGGCATTGTCCCTCTGACCCCAGCTGCCTAGTGTGGCGCCTGGCATGTGACCAGTGGGATGGCTGCTGGGTGAGGAGTGGGAGGGAAGGCACACGTGACCTAGGAGCGAGGCACTCATGCAGGCCTCCTGGAGAAGCCCCCGCCTCACGCCTGTCTTCCCTGCAGGCTGACAAGGAGAAGCTGACAGCCGAGGCCAAGGAGCTGCGCCAAAAGGTCAAGTACCTGCAGGACCAGCTAAGCCCACTCACTCGGCAACGGGAATACCAGGAAAAGGAGATCCAGCGGCTCAACAAGGTGGGTGGCCTGGCCCTGGTCCCTGTGGAGGTTCTCAGTACAACCGCACAGTTCCAGCCCCTTCTTCTGCTGCCCTTTTCCACCCACTCAGTTCCAGCCCCTTGGGTGAGCCTGTGCTGGCTCTGACCTCAAGGCCTTAGCACAGGCTGTTTCCTCAACAGTGCCACTCGGCCCCTTATACTTCACTTGCCTCACTCCTGCTTGTCGTTCAGGCTTAGCTTTTACGTCATGTCCTCAGGGAGGCTGTCCCTGACTCTCAGCCAGGTCCCTTGTTATATACTCTTAAAGCACTAGGACCTTCTCCTACCACATTCCTTCTCATATTATCTTGTCATTGTGAATTTACTTATCTGCCTTCCCATGCCATGGTGGACAGGTGCTCTTCTTCACCAGCGTGTATCCACAGTGCCTGGCACGGTGCCCAGCACCAAGCATATTGCTGAAGGAAGTGGGTGAGCACAGCCCCGAGGGTTCCTACCCTTGTGGGATTCAGGGAGATGGGGCACCTCAGGGTGGAGGCTGGGTAAAGCAGAAACCCTTTGATCTGAGCCTATGGGACAGGCCAGGGCTGGGTTTTTGTTCTAGGCCAAGCTTGGCTACTTTAACCTTTCTGGGACTCAGTTTTGCCGTCTGAACCCTGGGTAGAATCACTCTAGCACTGCCTGGCTTCCAGCACAGGGGCTAAAGGAAACATGCTACAGGAGGGAGCTTTGAAAGAAAATTGTTTTCTGAAGGCGTGGAGGAGTTACCAAGTTTGTGGACCAGCTTTCCCATTTGTCCTGTCTGTTTTCCCTTTTTCTCTGTCTCCTGGCCCTGGTCACATGGTCTCTGGACAGCGTTTGGTGTTCACTGGGTCCCAGCCCTGTTGGAGGTAACCCTCTCTGTTTGGTGTATTGTTTTACAAGCGTTGATTATGCTAAGCTGGAACTCTCATGGCCTGTTCTCTTAGAAGAAAAAATGATCTGTCATGTGCTGGGGGCTTTGGAGCCCTAGATCTGGGCAGAATATTGTACATGGCACTGACCATAGAGATGACCATCGGCAGGATCCCTGCCCTCCAGGCATTACTGGCATTGCTGTTGGGGACAGAGTTACCATGCTTGCAAATGACTAATGCAAGCCAGGTGGACTGCTTTGCTTGTGTCCTCGGGCAAGTCCTTCCTGTCCCTCAGTCATCTCATCTATAAAATGGGCAGAGTAGGAAAACGAAGTGGAGCCATAACTTCCCCTCAGAGCATCCTGACTTCAGTCTGGGTTCAGCAGTTTCCTTGAATTTCTGGGGAAGCCAAGGCGGGTGCCAAGGGGTCCAAGTTGGGGGAAGGCCTCTTGAGTCTCCCTGTGGTTCCAGGGCAGCAGGCAGCTGGCTAGCCTCTCTGTCTGTGGGGCTCTGTGCCCTGCCCCATGTTAGGCATGTGTGCAGTGCTGAGACACGGCAACCCAAGTCCCTGCTGACCAGAGGGTTAAAGTTCAGGTAGTGGTTGTTATGAGTTGAATGGTGTTCCCCCAAAATATATGTCGTAAATCCTAACCTCTATGCTTGTGGTTATAATCCCATTTGGGAATTGGTTGTCTTTGTGATGTTAATGAAACAGGATTAGTGCAGGGTGTGTTTTGAGTTAGTCTCTTACAAGATATAAAAAGAGCAGATTAGGACAAGCAAGCAAGCAGAGATGAGGGAAGAGAGATGCCAAGCCACATGAAGACCGCCGAGGAGCAGAAGCTCAGAAGAGACAAGGACCTTCCTTCAGAGCTGACAGAGAGAGAAAGCCTTGCCCTAGAGCTGGCGTCCTGAATTTGGATTTCTAGCCTCCTAAACTGTGAGAAAAAATACGTTTCTGTTTGTTAAAGCCATCCACTAGTGGTATTTCTGTAATAGCAGCACTAGATATCTAAGACAGAATTTGGTACCGGGAGTGGGGTTGCTGCTCTAACAAATACATACAGTGTGGAAGTGGTTTTGGAATTGGTAATGGGTAGAGGCTGGAAGAGTTTGAAGGTGTCTAATAGTAAAACCATAGATTGCCTTGAAAAGACTGTTGGTAGAATTACTGATGTCAAAGGCAGTTCTGGTGAGGGCTCAGAAAGAAGTGAGGAGAGCTAGGCAGAAAGTCTCTGTCATCTCAGAGAATACATATGGCACCAGCAACAGAATGTTGCTAGAAATTTGGACGTTAAATGTGAATACCGGAAGGATATTTACCTATGTTTTATTGACTAGGCAAAGGCATTTGACTGTGTGAATCATAACAAATTATGGATAACATTGTGAAGAATGGAAATTCCAGAACACTTAATCGTTCTTGTGAGGAACCTGTACATAGACAACGGCAGTCATTTGAACAGAACAAGGGGATACTGCGTAGTTTAAAGTCAGGAAAGGTGTGCATCAGGGTTGTATCCTTTCACCATACGTGTTTAGTCTGTATGCTGAACAGATAATCTGAGAAGCTGGACTATATGAAGAAGAGCATGGCATCAGGATTGGAGAAGACTAACAACCTGCGATATGCAGATGATGCAAACTTGCTTGCTGAAAGTGAAGAGAATTTGAAGCACTTACTGATGAACATCAAAGACTATAGCCTTCAGTATGGATTACATCTCAACATAACACAAAAACCCTCACAACTGGATCAATAAGCAACATCCTGATAGATGGAGAAAATATTGATGTTGTCAAGGATTTCATTTTACTTGGATCCACAATCAGCACCCATGGAAGCAGCAGTCAAGAAATCAGATGATGTATTGCGTTGGGCAAATCTGCTGCAAAAGCCCTCTTTAAAGTGTTAAAAAGCAAGGATGTCACTTTGAGGACTAAGGTGTGCTTCACCCAAGCCATGGTATTTTCAGTTGCCTCATATGCATGCAAAAGCTAGACAATGAATAAGGAAGAAATGATGAAGGAGAAATGATGCCTTTGAAGTATGGTGTTGGCAAAGAATATGGAATATATCATGGACTGCCAGAATAATGAACAAATCTGTCTTGGGAAAAGTACAGCCAGAATGCTCCTTAGAAGCAAGGGTGGCGAAACTTCATCTCATGTACTTTGGATGTGTTATCAGAAGGGACCAGTTCCTGGAAAAGGACATCATGCTTGGTAAAGGGGGGGGGGGTCATCGAAAAAGAGGAAGACCCTCAACAAGATGGATTGACACTGTGGCTGCAACAGTGGGCTCAAGCATAGCAAAGATTTTTGAGGATGGCACAGGACTGGGCAGTTTTTTGTTCTGTTGTACGTAGGGTCACTATGAGTCGGAACTGACTTGATGGCACCTAACAACAACAACATATGTGCTTCTGGTGAGGCTTTAAAAGAAAATTATGAACATGTGATTGGGCAGTGGAGGAAGGACGATGCTTTTTAGGCAATGGCAAAGAACTTGTCTGAATTATGTTCAAACATTTAGTAGAAGGTAGAACTTGTAAGTGATGAACTTGGCTATTTAGCTGAGAATATTTCTAAGCAGTATTTTAAAGGAGCCATATGGTTTCTCCTTACAGCTTATAGTAAAATGTAAGAGGAAAGAGATGGACTTAAAAATGAACTGTGTAAAATGAAAACTTAAAAGATATGGAAAATTCTGTTCTACAGGCTAAGGACACATGTCCTAGAATTTTCACCAAGGATGCGGCTATACAATCTTTTGTTAAAGAGATTAAGCCTGTGACTGATGGATCTAACCAGCTACCACAGCAGAAATCCCATCAGCTTAGACTGAAGGGGTCAGAGACAGATCGAAAAGAAACTGTCTGCCTCTTGGAATTCTACAAGCAGGAAAGAGGCCAAAGGAGCTACATCTCTTGTCCTCCAGGAAAAGAAAAGGACCATCTCTAGAGCAGCTCAGAGATCAGCAGAACTGTTGGAAGGAGCACAGGAAGCAGAGCATTCTCGGTTTCAGTGGGTGGGGTCATGGTCTCCTGGATCTCAAAGGGTGAGCCCACAGCGTCCTAGGTTTCAAAGAGTCAGTTCTTCGCCAACTCAGTTCTGGAGTGTGGGGCTGATGTTAAGGCATGGCGGGGGATGGGCTACCGCCCAAAGCTTAGGGTGTGGGGCTGCCATGCCTAAGGGGCAGAAGAACGGGGCTGCCGGGGCCTAGGGGTGGGATCGCCACTCAGATGGACTAGGAGAATGGGGCCACCCAAGACCAAGAGAGCAAAGTTGCCATTTCAGTGGGCCTGGAAGGCAAAGCTGAAATCCAGGGCCAAGGGACCTCCACCCAGAATCCAGCGGGCATGGCCAACACCCAGTCTGGAGAGGTGGAACTATTGTCCAGATGGTCCCAAAGAACGGAAGATTATTTTCAAGTCCTGAGAGCTAATGTAAATTGTTCTGCTGGGTTTTGGACTTGCTTGATGCCCGTTATCCCTTCTTTCCCTCCAATTTCTCCCATTTAGTAATGGAAATACCTACCTTGTGCCTGTTCCACCATAGTATGTTTGAAAGAGATAACCTGTAGTCTAGATTTCACAGGCTCACAGATGAAGAAGAATTTTGCCCCAGGATGGAACGTGCCGGAAGTCTCACCCATATTTGATTTAGATAATTCAGAAGATGAGATTTTGGACTTGGAGTTGATTTAAGACTTTTGGGATGATGGGATGCGATGAATGTGTTTTGCATGTGGGAAGGACATGAATTTTGGGGGGGCCAAAGGATAGAAAGTTATGGATTGAATTGTATCCCCCAGAAATATGCGTTGTAAATCCTAACCTCTGTGCCTGTGGTTATAATCCCATTTGGGAGGATTTTGTCTTTGTTATGTTGATGAGGCAGAGTTAGTGTAGGGTGTATCTGGAGTCAGTCTCTTTTGAGATAGAAAAGAGATTAAACAAGCAAGCTAAGAAGCAGAGATGGGGGAAGACTGATGGCAAGCCACGTAAAGATCTCCAAGGAACCAGGAAACAGAAGCTGAAGATACAAGGACCTTCTGCCAGAGCTGACAGAGAGAGAAAGCCTTCCCCTAGAGCCGGCACCCTGAATTTGGACTTCTAGCCTCCTAAACTGTGAGAAAATAAATTTCTGTGAAAGCCATCGACTTGTGTTATTTCTGCTGTAGCGGCACTAGATGACTAACACAGTGATAAAGGGTGATCTGTTATGAAAGTCTTGAGAGGCATTCCAAAATAACATGTTAACAGTGTCAAAAGAGAAAACAGTTAATAGAAACCTCTTAGAAGATGTGAGCATACTGCTAGCATGAAGGACAATATTTTGTTTGCCTGGTAGATTAAGGATACTTTTCCTTTTAAGAAAAAATAAAAGTTATTTGATTATATTTCAACGTTAGAAAGGTAAAATAATAAATAAGTAGAAATTAAAAAACCAAGTATAATCTAACTAGATCCCTGGTGGCACAGTGGTGAAGCACTCGGCTGCTAACTGAAAGGTCAGTGGTTCAAACCCACCAGCTGCTCAGTGGGAGAAAGATGTGGCAGTCTGCTTCCATAATGATTTTCAGTCTTGGAAACCCTAAGGGGCAGTTTTGCTCTGTCCCATAGGGTTGCTAGGAGTCAGAATTGACTCTATGGTAGAAGGTTTGGTTTTTTTGTTGTTTATAATCTAACTACAGAAGAGTCGAGGATGGAAGTGTTGGCTCGGGCAGAATGGGTCACCGAAACTGAAGAATCCGAAGGAATCTGAAGACTCTCAGGGCAGGGCTTCCCCAAAGGACTTGTTATTCTTTCTAGCTCCAGGTGCTAAGAATTGAGCCACACTTGCTTAGGGAAGGAGAGATTCTCCCTCCTACATTAGAGGCCCAGGGTACTGGTTAAGAGCGTACTCTGGATTTGAATCCTGGCTTTGCCACTTAATAGCTGTGTGACCTTGGACGAGTCATTTCAGGTCTCTGAGCCCAGTTTTCACATCTGTACAATGGGGATGGTAATCATAGTCTCACCTTTTCTTCAGAGGATTGTGGAGAGGATTCGATGAAATGATGTGTTAGTTAAATAGGATGACATTTATTAAATAGTAGTGGTGGGGGTGCTTATTATCACTGACATCAGGAAGGGGTCTCTGAGGATGACCACTCCAATGGGACCTAACTTCCAGGGGCTTCTGCTGATGGTCCCGTCCCCTCTCTCCCCGCTCTTAGGCCCTGGAGGAAGCACTGAGTCTGCAGACCTCTCCATCGTCTCCACCAGCAGCATTTGGGAGCCCAGAAGGAGCGGGGGGCCTCCTAAGGAAGCAGGAGCTGGTCACCCAGAACGAATTACTGAAACAGCAGGTGAGGCTGGGGGAGGAGGTCAGGTAGAAGGGCTCAGTGGGAGCTGGAGCATTCCTGAGGGCCAGGATGGATCTGGAAGTCACGTGGAAGCTGGAATTTGTAGGCCATTTCTGGCCATCAGCCAGGACCTCTTCCTGGTTATGAGTTTCTCCATTCCGGAAATGTATCTCTGATTTATGTCATTCCTCTACCACCTTCAGAAATCCTGGTGGCATAGTGGTTAAGTGCTACGGCTGCTAACCAAAAGGTCAGCAGTTCAAATCCACCAGGTGCTCTTTGGAAACCCTATGGGGCAGTTCTGCTGCATCCTATAGGGTCAGCAGAGTCAGAATAGACTCGATGGCAATGAGTTTGGGTTTTTGTTTTTTTTTTCCTACCATCTTAATGCACCACCTGTGCTATTATTTACCTAGTATTTTTTTTTAATTGAGGAGAAATTCGCCTAACATAAATTTAACTATTTAAAAGTGAACAATTTGGTGGCATTTCATTCACAACATAGGTGATGTAACTGCCGCCTTTGTCGAGTTCCCAAACATTTCATCACCCCAGTGGGAGCCTTATTTGCTACACTTTTGATCCTCCTAAGTCATCTCTCACCAGGTCAGCATCATGCTGATCTGCAAGAAGGATGAAAACAACAGGCTTGGGCAGCATGGTGCACGGCAGAGGTAGGCTTATCCCAGCCCCTCTGCCAGGGCACCCTGCAGTCTGCTCCTGGAGCCAGGAGACCCAAATTCCAGTCCTCCACCCACACTCTGGTTCTGTGACCTCTGTCTCTCCGTGGGTCTTCCTAGAATGAAAGGGTTGAGCTGGTGGATGGCTTTCAGCCTTTCTTTTTCAGTCATGAATTCTGTGTTCAAATAAAGTCCTACTTCGAAGGCCAGAATATAAAACAGGAACGCAGAAATGCCCTTATTGAAGTTGAGGATGGGAGTTGGAGGTACACCTGTTCACTCCCCACGGTCACCCAGAGACCTGGTGAAATCAGCCCAATATCTGGGACCCCCAGCAGGAGGCATGGGTTCTGGGCCTGAGCAGGTCTGAGCCTTCACTCCCCACCCCCCTACTCCCTCCAGGTGAGGATCTTTGAGGAGGACTTCCAGAGGGAGCGCAGCGATCGAGAGCACATGAATGAGGAGAAGGAAAAGCTGAAGAAGCAGGTGGAGAAACTGCAGGCCCAGGTCACCCTATCGAATGCCCAGGTGAGAGTGACTGGATGCAGGAAAGGGTAGTTGGCATGTCCTTATGGGGAGGGGGCGTGGGCGGGATGCTCCCTGGTGAGACTGGGATACTCACTCACTGGTTCTACTTCCAGCTCTGCTGCCAGAATCCTGTGTGATCTTGGCAAGCCCTTCCCTTGTCTGACCCTTTGTGCCATGATGAGATTTAAACTCCACTGCTTCAAGATAACCTTCTAGCTCTGACAGTCCCTAATCTATGTTGATGTCTTAAAAGAGCAATTTAGGAGTTGGCCCTGAGCCACCCACTGTCTTCCAAAATGGAACTAAAAGATGCTAAGTACTGAAGCATGGAAGCAGCAAGGCTCACCTGATTCCTCCTGCCCTTTGGGCAGATCACCCAAGATGACCAGGGCTCACCTGCAGCCAACAGCTGGGCCTTCTGCGGGGGTGACCAACCTCTGTGGGCTAGGCCCTGGCTCCGGGCCCTGCCAGGAACTGCATGTGCCAACAGTCTTCTCCTTCTTTCTCCTTCTCTCAGATAAAAGCATTCAAAGATGAGGAGAAGGCCAAAGAAGCCCTCAAACAGCAGAAGAGAAAAGCAAAGGTGAGGCTTGAGGGAGGAAGCAGCACTGCCTCATCTTCCTTCTTCAGAGAGCTACAGTCTCATGGGAGAGACAGTGTTTGCTCAGATGTCCCACACTCTGTGGCATCTCACTAATGAGTTGTGAGTACAGGTATGGCACTTAGAACAGTACTTGGCACAGAGGGAGTGCTCAGGACATGTTAACTGTCATCGTTGATATTCTTTGCCTGTGTACCAGCCTTCCCTGCCTGTTATCAGCCTCCCGTGCCCATGAACCAGGCTTCCCTACCCATGTACCCAGCCTTCTGTGCCTGAGTACCAGCCTCCTGTCCCCATGTACCGGGCTTTTGTGCCCATGTACCATGTACCCAGCCTTCTGTGCCCATGTGTCAGCCTTCAGAGAGCTGAGCCTCTAAATAGAGGGAGATGACATAGGTGTCACTGGGGACAGCCTGTGCAGCCTGTTGCAAGGCAGAGTTAGATGCTGGCCTTTTTTGCAGTCCTCGGGAGAGCGCTACCACGTGGAGCCCCACCCGGAGCACCTCTGCGGGGCCTACCCCTATGCCTACCCACCCATGCCAGCCATGGTGCCACACCATGGCTACGAAGACTGGTCCCAGATCTGTTACCCTCCGCCCCCTATGGCCATGGAGCACCCACCCCCACTCCCCAACTCGCGCTTCTTCCATCTGGTAAGTCTCTGCCTCTTCACTCCAGGACACACACAGGCCACCCACAACACTTTCCAGAGGGGACCAGCACGCGAGAGGTCAGAAACTTCATTCTCAGTGCCTTCCTGAAGAGCACTGGTGTGCAGACAGACAGCCAGGGCTCGGCTCTGGCCTGCCGTCGCAGGGGCGAGGGTTCTCCAGCCCAGAGCCAGCCAGGATTACTGGTGAGGGATAGAAAAGGCTGAGCACAGAGCAGGACAGAAAGGCGGGGTCCCTCCAGCCTCCCAGGCCAGGGATACTAGTTTGTGTTTGACTTTTTCTTATAACCTCCGCATGTAACTGGGTACCAGATCCTCACCATTCTTTCTCTTTATTCCTTTTCCCTTTCTTTTTTGCTCCTTTCCCCCCTTGCCTTCCTTTTCTCTCCTTTTTCCTCCCGCCCTTCATTTCCCTTCTCTTTTCCTTTCTTATGATCTTTCTCCAAAGTGCTGCTGCCACCTGCCCCTTCTTCTCCAGCCCCACAGCCCTGCCTCAGGCATTCCTCGGCTCTCACCTGGACAAGCACAGCAGCCGCCTATCTGGCCCCCTTTCCACATTGTCCCCATATAACCGTTCTTCACACACATCTTTAAACACTGGAGTATAGTGCGGTGCTTAAGAGAATGGCTCTGGGGTTATAGAGACCTGCATTCAAATCCAGGCTTTGCCACTTGACTAGCCAGATGGCCATCAGCAAGTTATTAACCCCTCTGAGTCTCAGTTTCCTCACCTATAAAATGGGGATCATAACCTGGGTTGTTGTAAGGATGGTGACCCCATGTACAACAGAACAAAATGCCACCTGGTCCTGTGCCATCTTCAAGATTGTCGGTATGCTTGAGTCCATTGTTGTAGCCTCTGTGTACATTGAGTGCCTTCCAGCATACGGCTTCATCTTCTAGCACTATGTCGAACAGTATTCTGTTGTGATCCATAGGGTTTTCTTTGGCTGGTGGCGTAGTGGTTAAGAGCTATGGCTGCTAACCAAAATGTCGGCAGTTCGAATCCACCAGGCGCTCCTTGGAAACTCTATGGGGCAGTTCTGGTCTGTCCTGTAGGGCCACTACAATCGGCATCGACTCAACAGCAACAGATTTTTTCTTTTTTTAATTTTTGGAAGTAGATTGCCAGGCCTTTTTTTCTAGTCTGTCTTAGTCTGGAAGCCCCACTGAAACCTGTCCACCATGAGTGATCCTGCTGGGACCTGAAATACCGGTGGCATAGCTTCCAGCGTCATAGCAACATGCAGGCCCCCACAGTATGACAGATGGGTGGTCGGAATTATACTTGCTAATGTCTATAATGCCGTTGTGATTGCCAGCGTAATCATTGATTTCTAAGCATCAGTTTTGTATCAGCCAGAGTACGCATGGCGTTCGCCTCGTGGGGGAATGCGGAATCAGAGCTCCCAAGTGATGGACACGCCTGCAGCCAGGCCCCCGGATCCAGGTGAGCTTGCTCCCCTGAGTACTGGATTGTCCCCCAACCCCACCCCAGGAGTGAGAACTTCTTATCTGTCAGGGTTGCCTCAGTTTGGGAGTGATGTTGCTACTTTCTGATCTTGATGGAGAGAAGACTTAGCTTTCTGAAATCCTGTTAAAAGGAGAGTGGTGGTGACTGGGGAGTGAGGGGATTCGAACCATCCATTCATTTGTTCATCATAGTTTATCATCTGAATGCCAGGCCCTGTGCTAGGGATACCAAAAGAGAGTAGAAAGAAATACGGTCCCTACGCTGTGGAGCTGACTTTGTAGTGAGGGGGACACAGGTGAATTTAAAAATTGCACAGAGAAGCATGTGATTACACTCTGAGCAAGTGCCCTGAGGGAAGAAGAGCAGGTTTGTATGAGAGCAGATAAGAAAGGGACCTGACCTAGACTGGGGCTAGGAAAGCTTCCAGGAGGCAGTGATGCTTGAGCTGAGATCCTCAGAACCAGCGGCATTAAGTAGGTGAAGAG